AACATCTGTCTGAGCATAGTCGATAGCGTATTACCATATTACGGTCGATATGTGGATGATAAATCTTGTGCGACGGTCAGTTAGTGCTGCACGGTGCAGATAATAGTTCAACTTAACACAGCGCATGGCGACGGTAAGTTTACCCTGGAACCTGAACGTCATAGTACAAGGTCATTCTAGACGTCCAACTTCTCACAAGAGCAGAAGTATTCATCGTTAAAATGAAGATCGTGGTCGATGAATTGAGAACTCGCCGCGCGAACGGTGAAACCGATTTGCGTATTGAGGATTTTCGCGTAGTTCGGAAAGTGCAGAGAACGCGCTGGAAGCCAGTTCTTGTCCTTCCCGGACATTAAGATAAACAACCGGATTGCACGTACTTTTTGCGAACGTGCGCAGTCTGCGTAATAAACTAGATGAAATTGTGCATCTTGCGTCAGTACTTCTCCTGGGCCTTATGGCTTTTACGGAGACATGGTTGTTCCCAGAATTCCCAGATCCCGAAGTATATATTCCTGGTTTCAATCTCTCCTGAGCTGATCGCATCGTTTTGAGATCGGGGGCGGGGTCATGCTCTACTGGAAGGAAAAGCTGAAGGTCCATGTAGCTGATGTTGTCATGGGAAGTGATGACTGCTCCGAAGTGCTTTGGTGTCGTATTCACGATGGATGTAGATCACTCCTTCTCGGTGTCTGCTACAGAGCTCCCCTGAGTTCTGGCGATCGTTTACTGGCCTCTCTAAAGAAGCTTGGTGGAAATAAGGATTGTTTATTAGTGGGGGACTTTAATGCCCCTAATGTGCATTGGGATCTTCTTCACTGTGACGCTGCACCTGCCTCCTACGATTCTAGGTTTCTGGAAGCTGTTCTTGAAAGCAATTTGATTTAATATGTCGCGGCACCTACTCGCATAGTCCCTGGTCAGACACCGCACATACTCGATCTTGTGCTTTCGCCTGCACCATCGGATGTTTCTGATTTGAATGTCTTACCACCAATCGGGAGGAGTGACCACTGCCTACTTTCCTTTCAATGGACCACACGGTTGAGCATTCACAACCACTGTGTCCATCGGCGGAATTTCTGGCGTGCTGATCCAAACCGCTTGAAGAAGGCCGCTAGCGAGCAGGATTGGAGTCTCCCTCAGTACTTGGACGTCGATAATGCTTAGAGCCTTGTTTACTCGAAATTGTTGCCCCTTGTTGATGATGTTGTTCCCAAATCCAAACGAAAACCATTTACTAGAGGTCTCCCCGGATTGACCGAGAGCTACGATCGCTCATGAACCAAAGACACAAACTTTGGCATCGCTATAGGCTTTCGAGATTGGAAACCGATTATAGCAATTATAAATTGGTCCGGAACGTATGTACATCATAAAAACGTACGAAAGCGCAGCAATACGAAGGTCATCTGGCTGAACATTCCAAGTCTATACCGAAGCTGCTTTTCCCCTACTTGAAAAGGAGCACCAGAGCCGGAAGTGGAATACCGTCTTTGCATTCCCACGATCTTAATACCGTGCTCCACGACGATGCTGATAAAGCTAATCTTTTAGCTCGCCATTATTCATCGGTCTATACAACGGGGGTGCCGTCAGTTTGTTGTCATTCATCCTTGCTTTCCACTCTCAGCCAAATGGACATAAATGTTACTGTGGTATACAAACTTTTGTGCGCGTTGGATCCCAACTCTTCCCCGGGACCTGATGGACTGCATCCTCTTTTCCTCAAGATTTTAGCCGAAGATATCGCTGTTCCTATTTGCCACGTATTTCGGTGCTCACTTGAGGCCGGGCGTCTTCCGCTTGCCTGGAAAGCGGGTATAGTCAAGCCCATATACAAAGGAGGTAATCGGCAAGATCCAACGAATTATCGGCCCATTTGTCTAACATCTGTCGTCTGTAAGGCTATGGAGAGGATTCTTAAGCGAGCTCTCAACCTGCACTTCCAGAACCTCAAGATCATTTCAGCTGCGCAGCATGGGTTTTGTCCTGCGCGTTCATGTGTCACCAATCTTCTGGTAGCTCGAGAAAAGTGGGCTAAATCCATGGATGCTGGTAAGCGGCTAGATGTCGTATTTGTGGATTTTAGTAAAGCCTTTGACAAGGTTCCACACGAAATTTTACTTAGCAAACTTCGCAGTATTGGTGTTTCAGGAAAAATCCTCTCTTGGCTCACTGATTTCCTGAATGACCGCGCTTTCCGGGTACAAGTAAATGAGGCCTTTTCCTTCCCTGTAAATATGACCAGCGGTGTTCCGCAAGGCTCTGTTCTTGGCCCTGAACTGTTTAAAGCATTTATTAATGATCTGGCATCTGTACTACGGACAGATTGTTTGATTTACGCAGATGCTTTAAAGATATGGATGGAAGTCTCCTGTCTAGATGAAGCGGATTTACTACAAACAAGTCTCGATTCGCTGCATGATTGGTCGATCAGATGTCAATTACCCATAAATCACGATAAATGTTCCGGTCTTCCGATCGGTGCCTCCGAACCATTTGGAATTTATCATAGCGGTGGGTTTCTGCTGCCGAACTCTCATCGTGAGAGGGACCTAGGCGTCATTATGACCCCAGACCTAAAATCGACCGAAGATACCTTGAGGAAAGTCGCTTCTGCCAACGGGTTGATTTTCGCCATACGACGATCCTACTCTCGCTTGAATCCGGAGATCTTCAGGCTCCTGTTCACTTCTCATTTATGTCCGATTCTTGAGTATGGCCTACCCGCTGTTTATCCTCATGCCAAATTTGAATGCATCTTGCTTGAAAAAGTTCAGCGGAGAGGATCTAAATCCGTTCTGTAATTACGAAACCTGCCTTACTCGCATCGTCTCCAGTGCTTGAACTTTTTCTCCCTAGCCTACCGTCGAGATCGAGGGGATTTGAGTTTCACACGGCGTATCGTTAGAGGGGAACTTGGAGTTGAATTGCAGAATTTCTTTCCACTCAATTCTTTCAGTTCGACACGGGGTCACCATTGGAAATTTTTTAAACAAAAGAGACTTAGGGTCCGTTGTGATGTCACTATGTCTATCAGAGTAGTGAACGAATGGAATAATCTACCTGTGTATGTCGTTGATGCGTAGTCGGAGGAATGTTTCAAATATCAACTGGATTCTTACCTGTTGAGTAAACTCGGAACTTGTTGCTACTTGTGTCAATGCCGCAGTTCCATTGGAACCGACTTGCAATGTCCACCTTGATCCCTGTGACGAACGGAAGACGATGGAGCTGACAAAGGATTTTTCCTTCTGCTGTCTGCATTCCAATGTTCCAATGTTACAAAGTTACATGACAGCTGGGACAGCCAAAGTAAGGAACGTGGGCATTAAATTGGTGGACCAGGGTGCTTTTTCGGGTGTTTTCCTTTTAGACCCATCAAAAAGTCGGATCACCTTTATCAACTCCTGGATTGACGACCCGCTCAAGAAGTAACACTTACCGGATTCATCCTATCGTTCCAGTCCCACTTGAACTTGAACTTGAACCATCTTTGCAAACCTTGACGTCTTGAATGTCATTTCCTCTGCGCAGCATGGCTTCAGGCGAGCTCGCTCATGTGTTTCCAACCTGCTCGTTGCCAGAGAGAGGTGGGCCAGGTCATTGGATGCCGGAAATCGCCTAGACGTTGTCTTCGTCGACATCAAGAAGGCATTTGATACAGTGCCGCACGAGCGGCTTCTGTTTAAACTTCGGAGTATTGGTGTTTCTGGAGAGATTCTCTCATGGATCACTGATTTTCTGGATGGCCGTAGCATGCGAGTGAACGTGAATGAGGTCTACTCCGCTTCCGTTCCCATGACCAGTGGGGTTCCACAAGGCTCTGTCCTTGGCCCCGAGCTGTTTAAAGTCTACATTAATGATCTTCCATCTGTACTCCAGACCGATTGTCTGCTTTATGCCGATGACCTGAAGATATGGATGGAGGTACCAACACCTGAAGCTGCTGACCGACTGCAAGAGAAGCTAGACCTGCTTCATAGCTGGTCTTCGGAATGGCGTTTACCCATCGATCATGAGAAGTGCTCTGTCCTGCCGATCGGCTCTTCTGACCCATTTGGCGCCTATCACATTGGTGGTTTTTTGATCAGGAATGCTGCCCGTGAGAAAGACCTTGGTATACTCGTATCTCCCGATCTGCGTACCTCCGAGGACACCCTGAGGAAGATGGCGGCTGCGAATAGGATGTTCTGTGCCATTAGGAGATCGTTCTCCCGAATGACTCCAGAGGTCTTCAGACTTCTTTTTTCTTCTCATGTGCGCCCTATCCTCGTGTACGGTTTGCCTGCGGCCTACCCTTTTACAAAGACTGAACGTGTTATGATTGAAAGAGTTCAGCGGCGAGGCTCGAAATCCATCTCAGCGCTCCGTGACCTGCCTTACACTCAGCGTCTTCGACAGATGAACATTTTTCCTTGGACTACCGTCGACGTCGGGGTGATCTGATTTACACCAGACGGATATTGCGAGGACAGATGGGGAGTGAACTGCAAGAGTTCTTCCAGCTCTGCGCTGATAGCTCGACACGGGGTTACTTTTGTAAACTGTTTAAGCCAAAGAGGGTCCGGATTCATTCTGATTTCACCCTATCAACTAGAGTGGTAAACTACTGGAACAGCTTGCCTGAACTGGTCGTTAATGCACAATGTGAGGAAAGTTTTAAGAAACTGTTAGACTCCTATCTGCTGAGTATGCAAGGATCCTGCTGTTTTCGATGCGACCGTAATGGTCCCTTGCGGAATACCGCCTCGCAACATGTCGCACAATCCTTGCTCTGAATGGGATGTGATGGAGCTGACACAGGATGCCCTATCTGCTCTCTACCACTCCAATGATACTCCAATGATACTCCAACCCGTTACTTTTGCTCGAGCAACGGCTTTTACAATTTTTAGTAAAAACACCGCAGTTCGCTTTGGCGGTGTTTATGCGACGGCATAAATTAACTACTTATGAACCTTTGTTTTAGTGCTCCACTTGTAATTACTCTGACCAATTACAAGGCACCACGATATCCTTCACGCCTTTAAGCTCGCGGTTTGCATCTGCTTCAGTGTCTACCCAGGATGCTCTCAAGGCGTTCGTTGGTGATCGTCCTTCTGGGACTTGCTGGTAAAGTTCAACATACTTGTTTAAGTTGTAGTTATTTTTGCATCCGTTTTTGGTGAACCGCCTTCTACTCATTCTGGCGTAAACGTCGAGAAAACAAATGAGGGTCTATCCACTGCATCCGACACATTGGATAAGTAAGAGTTAGTTTAACCGATGAATCGAATTTTCAGGGAGACCGGCTCCAGATCTATTCCAAATGTGGAAACACATGATTTCCAATCAGAAGTCCGAAAACTAATGAAACTTATCATAAATTCTTTGTATACAAATAAAGAAGTATGTCGCACATTGTTACATATGTTTAAGATATTTCTCCGAGAATTGCTCTCGAATGCATCTGATGCATTGGACAAAATGAGAATACTTTCCTTGACTGATTCAGAAGCACTTAGCGCATTACCAGATCTGTATATACGTGTTAAGGTGGGACCACATGTCTGCATAATATTTTCATTAAGTCTGACAAAGATAGTCAAACATTAGAGATTACGGATACTGGGATCGGTATGAGCAAGGAAGATCTCATTTCAAATCTGGGCACCATTGCAAAATCGGGGACTTCCGAATTCATTTCTCAGCTATCAGCTGACCAGTCCTCGATAACCCCTGATCTCATCGGCCAGTTTGGTGTGGGCTTCTACTCGGCTTTCTTAGGTAAGCTAGTTTTTCACTGTTCTTTTTTGTTTAGTTTCCGATAATGTCCAGGTTACTTCAAAGAAAGATGGACATGAACAATATGTTTGGGAGTCTAATGCAGATAACTTCAGTGTTTATGAAGATCCGCAAGGTGACACTCTTAAACGTGGCACCAGGATCAGGTTGCGTTTGCACAAGGAAGCTTCTGATTACTTGCAACAAGAGACGTTGGAGAATCTTATTAAGAAATATAGCCAATTTGTCAGTTTTCCTATTCATTTGTGGTCCAGTAGAGAGGAGACTTTGGAAGGCGAAACTCCCCAAGATACTGACGCGAACGTAAGTCAGCATTTTAGTATAACCGCCACTAGGTAGAGGAAGAGAAGAAAGAAGGTCAGAAAGAGAAGAAAACCATTTGGGACTGGGTGCATGTCAATAAGCAAAAGCCCATATGGAAACGTGATGCTGCTAATATAACGAGCGATGAGTACAAGAGTCTTTATCAGGCGCTTTCCGCTGATCAGGCCGAGCCGCTTGGAAAGACACATTTCAAAGCAGAGGGTGATGTCGCCTTTACATCAGTCCTTTTCATACCTCAGCGTTCTCCTGGTGACGTCTTCAGCGTTAACTATAACTATAAGGATAGGATCAAAGTTGGTTTTGGATTTTGACTTATCATTACTTTACAGCTCTACGTCCACCGCGTGTTCATTTCGGCTGCTGCTGAGGAGCTCATACCGAAATACCTAGGTTTCGTGATCGGACTAGTTGACAGCGATGACCTACCGCTCAACGTTTCCAGAGAAATGCTACAGCAAAATCAGTTGGTGAAGGTTATTCGTAAGAAGCTCGTCCGGAAAATTATCGAGATGATAACCAACCTGTCCGAAGAAGATTTTGAGAAATTTTGGAAACAGTACAGCGTCCACATTAAACTTGGAATGATTGATGATCATTCCAATCGAGCTCGATTGTCCAAGCTGCTGAGGTACCACACTTCCACGAGCGGTGATAAGCTAGTTAGTCTAGCCGACTATGTTTCACGTATGAAAGAAAACCAGAAAGGTATTTACTACCTCACCGGGCGTTCTGTCAAAGAAAATAAAGCATCTCCGCTTGTCGAGCGTTTGTTGGCTGATGGATACGAAGTCATTTATATGATCGATCCACTGGACGAATATGTCCTGCAATCCTTCACGGAATATGAGAAGAAGCCTCTCCAAAACGTGGCTAAGGAAGGATTAGAATTAGAAGAGTCCGAGTCGATTAAAACACAAAAAGAAAAACAAAAGAAGGAGTTTAGTCATCTTTTGGATTGGTTAAAGGATAATGCTTTGAAGGGAAAGATCGAAAAGGCGGAGCTATCAGACCGCTTAAACGAGAGTCCTTGCGCCCTTGTCGCCACAAAGTATGGTTGGTCTGGTAACATGGAGAGAATTATGCGCGCTCAAGCACATCAGAAGGGTGACGATCTTTCCTCTGATTACTATGCCAACATGAACAAGATATTCGAAATCAACCCTAGACATCCGATCGTCAAAGAAATGAATGAGCGTGTAAAGAATGATGAGTCGGATGAGGGAGCGAAAGAGACTGCCGAGCTATTGCTCTATGTCGCTACACTTCGTTCCGGCTATATGATACCAGATTCTGTCGATTTTGCGCAAAAAGTTGAAAGAATAATGCGAAAAAACCTCGGCGTTGATCAGTCCGAGCCAGTCGAGCCGGCCCCTGCTGAGTCTGTGGAACCAAAAAATATTGAAACCAAATCGGACGAAGACGGTGATGAGGTTTGTATTTTTTCCTACGGTTCACACCCTGCTTTAGGTGGCAGATACTCCGAAGTTTTCTGAGGAAACACCTGAATCAGATGAACACACATCTACCATTGGGGTAAGTCTGGTTCATACTATAGGGTAGTTTCTTCGCATGTTCTTTGAATGCACCTTGAATGCTGAATCATTCTTTCACTTTTTACCCGGTGGTTAGGTTGACAAGACAAGCGATCCTAAGGACGAGCTGTGATCGGTTTCCTGCGTGTATCCGTCCTCGGAACTGTGCGCCTGACTTAGTTCTCTATTCATTGCATGTTATGCATGTACACTCTGAACACCCCCTTTCCCGTGTTGTATGTTAACTGATCATCGTTTGTAATACATCATTACACCTGAGCGTTTGACATACTGTTTTATTCTCGCTTCCATGATCAGTTTCTCTCGAACTCCTTAGTGATGTGGTTCCCTTCCCTGTGTGGCGCTCTTGCTCTCTATTCTGCTCTGCTCGCATCGCGTCTCACTTTTAGGTCTACCGCGGTTTACGCTTCTTACTCACTCTCTACTTGTAAGGGACTCTCACTGCAACTGGGTAATGAAAACGACCAAGTGCGGTCGTACTCCTCGGTATCATTTCGTCGTAATAGCATCAGTTAAAGGTAGCTAATCCATTCTAGAACCAATCTCACCGTTTCAGTGTTCCTGACGAATCGGTTTAAGTAGCATGCTTTTCAACAGAGAGATCTAAGTTAGTTCACTAAAATATAATGTTTTATAGTGCTCGTCGCTGCGACTGTTTTCACTACTCTGGTTTTTCATGTAGAAGCAACCGCCCTACTTGAGAGACACAGGTGATATTGTAATTACTGACGCATCGACTTAGTCATTTGAATTCACCGGCTATAATCCTGGCACTGAAGTGCGGTGATTCACTTCTACACGAAGACATTCAACACCTCTCGGGGAAATATGGTAAAAACCGAAGCGACACGTAAAGAAAGGTGATTAAATTAGGCTGGCTGGGGAGTTAACAGTTAAATCCAGAGTCGATTGTAGATGCCACACTGACTCCGTTAGTACGTCGCTTCGGATGGGACCTCTATCCACTGAGCGGCTTGTGTTTAACGGTAACCAGATGGCATTTATTAGTCTCTTTCTGTATACCATTATTACCCAAGTTGCGCTCGACGGAGACCTTACCGCAGCACTTTGCACCATACACTATGGAGAGAGTTGAGGGTAGAACACAAATCTCAACCTCAATTACTCTAGCTCCCTTTGCGAAGAAACGCGCCGTGTTACCTGCCAAACCGATCGAAACTGGGTCTAGTTTAAGACTCGTACAGTGAATACGCCTCGTCGAGGTGATTCTTTTACTGATAACAGCGTTATCTTCCGTAACGTTGCCGAATCCGCGGCAGCTCTTCCCAGCGGACGCATACTGGATGACCTCCATTGATTCAAGCTTTGCGTCAGCAAGATGCTTCCACCTGGTTTCCCCGGTGTCACTTTCAGGAAGCTAAACAGACTGTGGAACGTCCCTGTCGATACGCCAAATCCGCGACCCCGACTACTTCGTGTAGCCCTCTTAATTCCGGAGGAACGCAAAGCGTTAATGCGCTTTGCATTCAAACTCAAGGGTAGCAATGTCAGCGTTCAGCCGGACCTACTGGCAGATCGACTGAAGTTAAAGGAAACCACCAAAAGCCTCAAGGTCTTCGTCTTGTGGGTTTTCAGCTGGTCAGCCGAAAGTCGAATTCTGCCCTACCAGAACCCCTGCGGGTAGCGTACGACTCAGGGCTGGTCGTGCCGAGTTCCTCCGGGTATTGCTTAACAATGTGCCTAGCCTAAGGAACAAGGTGCATGAAGTGTGTCTAATTGTAGACCTATCTCGTCCTGACATACTTGCTTTCACTGAAACGTGGTTTTCCCCGGATATCATAGACGGGAAAGTATGTTCACCTGGCTACGCACTGCTTAGATGTGATGGCTCCGTTTGCCGCCAAAGCGACGTCGCTCTTTATGTGAGCTGTAAACGTAATATGTTGAGGACCTGTGTTTTCCAGTCGCCGGATCAAACTGTTGAAGCTCTGTCGACTATTATGTGCACTTCCTCTGCTCAGTTTACGGTGGTAGCGGTATATCGAAGTCCTGGAAGTATCTCCAGGATGGTCATCGAATTTATTCTATCTATCTTGTAGTTCGGCGGTGGGCGCTTTCGGTTCACTACTCTCCGAGCTAACGTTGCAACTGCCTTTGCACCAGTTCGCTAACCTCCCGATTAGATATATGCGCAACCAGCTTCCTTCTACCTTGGATCTCTAGGAACCAGTGACCATGTCTGCATATCCTTTCCATGTGTTCTAACTAAGTGTCATCAGGCTACCGATGAGACGTCCAAACATTTGGCGGGCAGACTTTAACACAATGCGAGACAAAGCTTCAGTTCCGCGTTGCTCGATCACCGTGGCTGACGCCGTTCAGACAGAGAAATTTAAGGCTTACCTCATAGAGATCTCTGCTCCCCACATCCCACTCATTAAAACACGGGTGACTCGGACGCAGCCTCCTTGGATAGATCATACAGGTAAATACCTGTTCAGGAAGCGCACTAGGTGCTGGCGAACTTACCAAGCGGCTTCATCAACTAACACCTACGAAAGCTATCATGGTTAGAAATAAATGTAATCAACGTCTTAGTACTGCTCGTCTTCAGCATGAGAAGGGTTTGGATGACGCAATCGCAACAAATCCGAAGTTCTTTGCTTACGTAAAGAGGTGCAGCCGTACAAACTAGTCTATACCAGCTTTACTACGAGCGGACGGGACCCGTGTACATAATGACTATGATAAGGCTTGTATACGTATACTAGTGTCTTTTCTCGTGATACCTCTACCTCAGGTTGAGCTGGTCGCAAAAGTCCCGTTAGGATTCTTACCTAACTGAAACGGAGACACAAGTCTTCGGGCTATTGCAAGAGCTAAATCTTTCCAAAACTCCTGGCCCTGATTCAATTCATCCGAAGCTGATGCATGAATTGGCCGCTGAGCTAAGTGGCCCTCTGACATGCGTGTTTATATTAACGCTCGACAGCTGTGCCTTACTTTCGGAATGGAAGGAAGAAATCACCTGTCCGATTTTTAAGGGCGGTGACAGCACTCTGCCCACGAACTACCAGCCTGTCAGCTTGACAAGCTGGCAATTAAGTTGTTTGCAAACTGGTCAGGGATTCGGTAGAAAATCACTGAATAAGTTTAACTTTCTCATTGCGGCGCAACACGGATTCCGTAAGGGATTTTCGTGTCTTGCAAATTTACTTGTAGCTCGGGAAAGCTGGGCTGACGCTATTGACGTGCTTTTCGTTGACTTCTCGAAAGCTTTTGCTACTGTCCTACATCAACGACTTATTAAACTTGAGATCGTATGAGATATCTGGAGGCGCCATTAAATGGGTGTCTACTTTCCTAGTGGGGAAAAGTTAGTACGAATGGGACGTAGCCCTTCGCTTAGACAAGCTGTTCTTAGTGGCGTTCCACATGACTCGGTTTTAGGGCCGTTACTTTTCGTACTTTGTGTCAGTGACCTACCCCGGGGCTTAAAGTACCGTCGCTATTGTTTGCTGATGACCTCAAGCTCTGAAATATTGTGGATATCCCTGGGACTCTGAGTCAATTCAGAGTGCCTTGGATAGGCTCTAGGATTGGTCAGCCTTATGGTTGATGCCTATAAATTAGGCGAATTGTTCTGTCCTCCGCATTGGAGGTGCTAGTCACCCACGCGTTGTCTAATTGATGGGAGTGAAATCTCTGTTGTCACTTGGCAGATTGATCTAGGTATGGTCCATACCTCATTGCTTCACTCTGGGGAAAATTGGAGGAAGACTGATTGTAGGGGGTTCCGTATGATGTGGTTTATTCGCCGCTCCTTCGGTGTCCTGAAGGCCATTATTTTTGTGAAGCTGTTTTCAGCTTTTGTGCGACCCCACTTAGAATACTGTATCCAGGCTTGTCTTGTAAGGGACGAAATTGAACTGGAGATGGTTTTGCGACTGGATACAAGGCTAGTGCGTGGATTACGGGGACAAACATATCTCGTACGTTTGCTTAAGTTGGGTATGTACTCAATGCACTACCGGGGAATTAATGGAGATTTGTTCCTCACTTACCGTATCCTAATACGTAACTTCGGTCCAGACTTATCCTGGCTATTTAGTCCGGCCAAGCGACCTATTCACCGCGATCACTCGTTGAAGCTGCACAAACTGCGTTCTGAGCGGATAAGGACGGAAGTTCGCTTGTCGTACCGGGTTAGGGAAGTTTGGAACTCGCTTCGGGAGCACGTCGTTAGGGAGTCTACGGTAGAGGGTTTCGAGTGTCAGTTAGATGTCCTTGGATGGCAGTACCAAACCTTCTAACCGACTTGTATCTTCAACTTTCCGTTCGTATTTTATTTTTATCACACTTTGGTATTGTCATTAGTTAGCTGACATTCCTCCTCTTGTTTTCTTAGCCTACCCTTCACTCTCTTACTTCATATAAACCGGTCTGGCAGGGACTGCTGGGCAGGAAAATATGGACAGTAATTGCTTGGACAGGGTGTGATGCGGTCTTTGTTTTAGGCTTTTTAACATTTCAAGCATACCTATCAATTCCCGATCCAACAATACGCAAGAGGAAACATTCACGGGATTATCCTATCGTTCCGGTCGAAACTGAACTTGACCGATGGCGGAGTTGATATAAGGATTCTCGTTTGTGATCCACAAGTCGCCGGTTCGACTTTGTGTATTGGTTCATTGGTGTGTAGAGAGCAGGATACCCTTGTCAACTCCGTCACTTCCAGTTTATTACGGGATTAATGCTTGTGTTTGCAAGTCGACGCCCCTCTGAGGATAGTCGCCTTTGCAATAGGAGCAGCAGGAACCCGCGGTACTCATCAGGTGATAATCTAGCAGACGCTTAAAACGTTCCTCAGTCTGTGCATCAACTACGTTCTCTGGTAACCTGTTCTAATCGTTCACCACCCGGGTAGATAGAGCAACATCAGACTGGACGAAACATATTCTTCGTTTGTAAAGCTTCCACTTGTGACCCTGTGTTAAGGTGTTCACTTTGAGTCGACTGCGTCTTTGTAGGTCTGTTCCAATTTCTTCCCTTAGGATCCGTCTGGTGTAAATGATATCCCTCGACGGCGACGATACTCCAGGGGGAACAAGTCAAGCTTCTGAAGTCCATGATAGTAGCTGAGGTCCTGATGCTCAGAGACGAATTTCGAGTCATGCCTCTGAACCTTTTCTAACAAGGCACATTCATGTTTCGAGAAGGGAATGACAGCTGGAAGACCGTACTACAGGATTGGGCGAACATGTGAAATGAATAAGGTTCTAAAGATCTCCGGCGAGATT